CACTACACTATGCTATTTTTAGCCAAATTCTACTTCACTACAACATGTTATGAGCTGTGGAGGACTGGAACCTGGAATGCTACATATGTACATAGTCTGTTACACACATGTCACAAACTTTGAACTTGGAGTTTGTTTGAGATCCACACCTTGCACTCTACCATCAAGAACCAGAACCATGAAGATCCTCACCTGCTCTCCCAAGAACACCCATAACACAACACACTGATGCTACAGTTAGCGTTACTGGCCCATCATTACTTACAAGGCCTTCTTCTGGTGCACATGTTGAGGGGTATCAAATACAGGAAATCCACCATTAGAAACCAGTCACTTTTCCCAAAAATTATTTTTGCATCAAAGGGCCCCAAAAGGGGTTAAATGAATAACCAACATGTTTAAAAAAGGGTGGATTTTTTCAAACCAGTCCATTAAACCATGGTGGATCTGGTTATATTTGATACCCCCTATTATTATCCTTCTTTCTTGATTTGATTTTTTTACTTTTGCCGCTTTTTCTCTCAACCCTTGGATACCATAACTTTTCAACTCAAGCAATGTTCTTTTGGTATGTGAGAATTGATGAAGCCACTTTGAAGTTTTTTGAGCAACAACCAAAAACTCAATTTTGAGAAACCATTGTTGTGCTTCCTGCAAAGTGATTAATGATCCTAACAAAATACCACAATCTGAATATTTAAGGTTTTCGAGCTATGACCCCAGTCTTGTCTTCAGGGAGGTCTCATTTGGGAAACCAAAGTGGGTGATTCTTTACTTGTCTGAAGTGCCATATCCACAACAGCAGGACACTGGTTTTAAATTCAATCTTGATTCTGAAATTTATACAGTCTGGTAGGATTTCCCAAACTAGACTCAGATCTAATCCCAGACAATGAGTGAGCAGCCCAAAATTCAACCAACCAATAGGGGGGTTCACGATAGCCATTTTGGCTTATGGTCCCCCCTAAAAAAAATTCTTGCTTGCGTGATTTTTTCGTTAAATTTTACGCTAAAATAACCACGACTAACAACGGCCAGGTTCCATAAAAGTTGCTGGTCATCAATCGTCTGCAGATAAAACTCAACCCCCTCCTCTGTTGGAAACACCACCCAGCCCCCTCAGGTCTCGATTACACATCACCCTTCGGCAACGGATCAAACGTCCGCTTGTGGTATACATACAACCTCGCGATCGGCCCTTCCGGATATCAACAGTAATGTCCATCAGTCAGGTAAGTTGTTTGCCCTGTGTTCTATAACTTGTAGATCTGAACTTGCCTTGCTCAAAATCAACTTCGGCTCCTCCTCATTTTGGCAGCTTGATCCAAGTTTGGTTTCTCTCCCGCAGGCGAGTGAACACTCCGACCGACCCACGGCTGGTAGTTTAACGAGCGGCCCTGGGGTTTCAGGCCTCAGCCTGAATTCGGAAATCTCTGGCATCTCATTGCTGCAAGGCCTGGAACGCCCGCCTTCGCCTGATCCGACTGGAAACCTTGAACAACCGAGTGGGAAGAAGAAACGAAGCCGCCGGACTCAGAAGGAGATGGCCGTGTATCGTGCAGAACAGGTCCAAATTAAGAAACTGAAGGCTCAGGAGAAGCGGGCTAAAACTCGGGGCCGTGTGGGCCATTCACGTCGCTCAACCCAACCGTCCATTGCCAATACATTGGAACCCTCGGCTCCGGCGTCATCGCAACCATTGGTCCCTGATGTCAACCCTCCGTTCAATGGCGATGACTACGAGAATGTATGTGGCTATCTTGAGGAGGAAGCCAACTACACTCGGCTCTATGGTGATGGTTCGAAGACGACAGTTGGGGTGACGAAGGTGACCAAGGCAGCGGCCTACGACATTTTCGCAATCTTCATCAACGATAATTCGAGCCATCCCCTTCGCCTCACTGGAAGCCAACTGCGACAGCGTGTCGATGGTTACAAGAAGCGTTTTATGAAAGCTAAGGAGTTTGCCGAGAACACTGGGGCCGGTCTGGAGGAAGGTGATGGACTTCCCACCCTCGCCGAGGTTCTTGAAAAGAAGTGCCCGTGTTACGAGCGAATGTATGCGATATTTGGGGGGAAGGCTAATGTGACCGCACTCGCTCAGTTTGACTCAGGAGTTGGGGCAGACCTCTATGATGTTACGACGAACGCTCGGGACCCTGAAGATTTCGATTCGTCACCGGAAGTATTCTTTTCTGGGTGGGAAGAGTCCCAACGTGATCGACTCCCTTCTGAGTTAAACACTCCGTCATCGCAGGTCGATCTTAGTGGTCTGGCAAGTGCTCTCCGTCCGGACACCGAGCGTCCCTTACCAAATATTAATGCCAGTGGTGAGGTCAACGAGGACGAACTCCCCCCTCCCCTCGACTTCCGTGGGACGGCAATGGACCCCTCGCCCAGCCTCATGACTCAGCGGTCAATGGCCCGTGCGACTCCCCGCCGAGAAGTATCGGTTTCACCTACAACCACTCGGGCCAATACTCCGGCGACATCGGGTCCTTTGCCCCTTGGCGATTTGACCTCCTCTCGCCGTGCCTTTGCGAACCAACGTTCAACGGACGCCAGCCCAGCTGGGCCACATAGAGAAATCAATCCAAAGTCTAGATCCACCATGGCTTCAGCTTATGAGAGCTCCAACACCGAGAAGTTTTCCTACCTTCAACAACACATGGCCTGGGAGAAAGAGAAGGAAAATAACCGCCTTGCGTGGGAGAAGGAGCGGTACCGCAAGGAGGAGGCTAAAGCGAAGAATGGGGAGGAGGCCCGCATGAAACTTGCAGATAAGAAGATGGAAGCGGCGCGGGACTTGCTTAATCAGGGTTCGACAGCGGCAGAGGTGGAAGCCCTTCTAAAGACAATCTATGGGTGAATCAATGACCTTTTATGGTAAGTCATGTCTGACTACGCTGAATGACTCATGGGGCTGACCATCCTGATCCTTACAAGTTATCGACACATCGGCCGATCCCACGTGGGGCATGATCCTCGGTTATTACGGACACATCAAGGCCTCATTGACCCCTCATGCTTCACCGTGTTTCCTCGTCTCTATCGTTTCCATTTGATTACTTATGTTTGTTATCAACGGAAGCATGTCATTTTCCTTGGAGTACAAACGCTCTATCATCTTCCTAATCTCTCATACATAACTCGTGTTTCGTATTTGCCGTTTTACTTGCGTGCACGTCATGGATAGTGAAACTTTGCTTGGTACAATTCCAATGTCTTCAACTCCCACACACGGTGTTTCAGAGAAGCCTAAACTGGTCCATGGTGAAACCGTTGTCAGGGATGAGTGGATCCCAAAAGCCCATTTGGTGAGATTCGGGTGGCTCACTCCTCAGGTTCCTCATTACCACCATGAACCCACTGCCAAATACCCTCACCCCTCCAATCACTTTGGATGAACCCGCTAGAAGGATTGGATGGAATCGGGACGGGGTGGCCGGCGGTCCGAGCAGTATTCAATTGCTCCTCCTCTGGATAACTGCTGGTGCAAACTACACTCAGTGGTTTGCGACTCCGTTCCATAGACAAGACCGCGAGAACGCCTGCACCGAGATTCAGCAATTCATGCGGACTCAAGGTAACATCCACCGGGATCCCAGGGGTACGAGATCCTACTCCACCGGAAACAGATACAGCTTGATAATCATTAAGGTCAGCCAATCATACTGATCGTTCTTTCTATTTGTAATAGATATCAACCGGAAGATCCAGCAGCTGCGACTCTCCTACAAGTCTGCGCATGATTTTGTTGTGTATACAACCGGAGGGGATCGGCCAGACGACCCGATCATTCAAGGTCAGCCATTCCGGCCGAAGTATACTCCATCTTCTTGTCTGACCATGACACTTCATTTGACAGCTTACGTCCGCAGGCTTTGCCCATACTGGGACTTACTCCACCCTGTTATGGCCGCGGTCGAGTATCCTCCCGTTGTAAATGTACAAATGGAAACCGCATCTCATGATCTCGAAGCCTCTGATGAAGAATCCACTAATAGCACATGATCTAGTGCAATGGCTAGCATATGCGAATGTGTGTGTTATTACTAAGTTGTAGTAGAACTAAGTAGTCTTATATACAAATTAGATAGGCAATACACCCAGGGAGTGGTTCAAATCCAGACATTTGACCTGGACCGAATCACGAAATCCCCTCGCTGTTTCTTCGTGGCTCACATCTCGTCCTGGACCGGCCTCATCGATTGAAGAATCCAAGAGGTCCCATGCATCACCCAGATGGGCAAGCATGTTGTGTAGAGTTACACAACAGTTTACCCACCTAATGATCTCCATCATGTCCGATGGCTTCTGAATCGCCAGCCTTAAGTGCTGCAGAGATGCCCAACGCCCCTTGAGGATCCCGATCGTATGCTCGTTCCGAACCCGAGATCGTGCCAGACAGTAGTTAAATTCAGTGTTCTCCAAAATGTATGCCGCGGGTGCTTTGTAGGCAGGGATACAGTGCAAACCCAATTCGTACGCGGAGTCGGCAATGAGATATTGCCCTAGGGAATAGGTGGATGTGAGCTAACATTCCCAACGCGGGGTTCATGAAGGGAAACTTGCCTACCTGGATCAAAGAAACGACCCGGATCTCTATGTACCGCCATCTTCTTGAAGACCATGCTGTCACCACACGAACCAGGCCAGCCAGTCATGTAACCTGTGATGAACCGATCACAGTCGCATATGACCTGACAATTGATCGAATAGCGTTTTTTCCGATCAAAGAAGACTTCACCGTCAATTGACGGCCGCTGGTAGAGTGGGATGGTTGTACCATCAACAAACCCAATACAACCTTCAAAACCCTCGGCCTTCATGACCTCGGAGATCTCTTTCCTTCGATCCTCATCAGGCCAGAGCAGATAAGTGTGCGACAGCTCATTAATTGCCTGGATGACCCTCCGACTCGCCTTGATAACGGTCCCCCGGCCAACGCCTAAGTTACGTGAGAATCGTCCGACCGAGGCCCCATTACCGTTTGACCCAAGCCTTTCTAGGGTGAGAGCCAGTTGATGTGGGACGGGAAGCTGGGGACGGAAGCTAGCGCTGTGAAACACGGAGTTGAACATAATTCGACCCAAAAGCCACATAAATCCTGCCTTTGTCGTTCGAACGGCCTGCTTAAAATCCTCGTCTCGCATGTTGAAAAGCTGGGCCAAGTCAAATTCATCACGTGTTCTCGCCGGCAATCGGTCATTCAAGTATCGATTACGGAGAACCAACTCGAACATATTCGAAATCATAGCCTCATCGTCGAATATAATGTCTAGCACTAAAGCGCGGCCAGGATTGGTCGGGGCCAATATTCGCCCAAGTGATGGCACGGTGGGGATTCCTAAGGTTGAGTCAATCAGGTCGTCCGTCTGCTGCTCGTGCAGGAATACCAGGATCATGAAGAGATCTCGGAGTATTTGTTGACGCTCACTGTTTTTGTGCATGAGGAGGGATAGGTTGAAGTTGGCAAGTTGCTGGTGTCAGAATCCTGTAAGTCGATTGAGTGGGTCCCTCCGGGTCCGAGGGTTGTTGGTGTTGGGTTGAACCACTTCTGATGGAGGAATGCCGGGAAGAATCCTGTAAGTCAATTGAGTGGGTACCTCCGGGTCCAAGGGTCGAACACCTTTTGATGGGGGAATGCCGGTGTGAATAATCAGAGGCTGGCGGGAGAAGGTCCGAGGGTTGTTGGTGTAGGTTGAACAACGTTTGATGGAGGAATGCCGGGAAGAATCCTGTAAGTCGATTTCCAAGGGTTGCCGGTGTGGGTTGAACACCTTTTAATGGGGGAATGCCGGCTGGCAGGAGAAATGGCCAAAATTTTAATCAACTGATGGGATGTGATCACCAGTGCGTTCCCATTGCTAAGTTTTCCTGGTGCATAAATGCTGGTGTGGTAAACACTCTCTAAAATTTTAGGTTGCGCAGCATGCGCAACTGTCCTGGTGGGACGATAAAACTTTTCTGGTGAAAAGCTATCGTGAACCCCCCTAATATGATTGGTCTCACATGTCATGCTCATATTGTCAAATTTTCTTACTGAAGTGTCACACCTCAGGCCTACATATTCTTCCCAAGAGCAAAATCAGATTGCTCATGTAAATTGCAATGCCTTCCTGAGCAATATCAGGGTTGAACAGGACAATAATTTTACACCTTATCAACAGGTATTCTCCATGATGAATGCTACTATTGGTTTCACCAAGCCTGCTTATTGCGGTGGTGGAGATGATCCGCGTGAAGCAGGGCCAACTGCAGTTTAACATATCTTGCGAGCCCTCGAAGCAGGACTCGACCAGAGCATCGCGCTCGCCCAACTTCACTAAGCCCCCCATGGGCGGCTCTATCGTCAGAGCTTAATTTTAAGTTAAGTTTGGTGTGGACATTTCCAGATCTTGACGAATGCTTGTTCTTCTACTTCATCTCTTCCCTTCGTTCCAACATTCCACCGACCTCATCGATTATCACCGACTGAGCTCCCTCGTATGTACTTCGCTTAGCCGATCATCAATCCCATCGCCGGCTCGTAATTGGTCTCGCATCGTCGTAAGTAGCTTCAAATTGAATTTGTCTCATCCCAGCGCCTGATTATTGACATTTTTTGTCTCTTCCGCAGGCTCTTGCATACTTATCTGTCGTACATATCTCGTGGATTCCTCTTGTGCATTGTCTTAACGTGAGGTAGTGACTTTTTTCTCTATTTTCTTCTCCCTCTCATGTTTTTGTATTGCGAAATTGAAATTTAAAAAAGAAACTGCATCAGGTTCTTGACTCGCATCATTACCTATATCGAGAAGAAAAGAGTACACAGAAAACGACCCGAAGAAGCGATGTCGGATAATGATGATAGCTCAAATGAAACTGCTGGTATGCATTCCTACTCCCTCCCCACCAGCTCTCATGACATTCAATTTTTAAAGCAATCCTGCTGATTCAAAATGGTTTTAATTCTTTTATAGATCTTGTTGTCAAGGCGCTCAAGAACATAGCTACAAGATACCAGAGTGTAGACCTTCATGCTGCCAGTAGACAGCCCCCCTGGGACGTTGACGCGGAGACGTGGGTTCATGATAACTGGAAATTCGCAAGACAGGAAGCTCTGTCGATCGACGAAATTAGCACTCTGAATGATCTGCTCTGTCAAATGCAAACGCGCCATCTACCTTCATTACAACAACAACTCGTCAATCTCTCAAGATCACTAGACCTACCCAATTTACCAAACAATCCGAATCCAAAGCTTGAGGATACTCTAGAGATCCTTTCCCAACTCGGCGACAGCTTGGATCAAATCAATACTTTCGTCCATTCCATCGCCCCGATTGTTGTCAATCCATTACAACAGACCGGCAAGGTTGATCATCATTTCAGTGGTTTGAAAAATTATCGATCTCGTGAGCTGATCGAGAAATTCAATAATTTGGAGAGAGAAAGTCTCAAGTGGCTATTCGACAGTCTTCGCCGTTTCATCCGAGCTAGCCCCAAGGATCCTTGGACAATTTTGAATGATGAATCGATTCTAGGTTCCCTCGGAAAGGATGTGATCGAAGCAATAGACCAATCCTACCACGCAATCAGTGAAATCATCAAATGGTCCAAACAATCCGATTTCAGTATTCTTCAAGACGAGTGCCGACGCGATGCAAACAATCTTGAACCGATTCTGGAAGGGCTCAACCGACGAATCGCATTGACAACCCGATTAGAGGAACAGCTTAGACTGATTGATGAAGGAGAATTTGACACTGACTCTTCCAGTGCCAGTGGTGATGAAGATGACGAAGAATCTGAGACGAGCCTTTCGACTGACTCCTCTGAACAGATTTTCTTAAGGCCGTCACTCATGAAGCTTGCTAAAACGACTATCCCACTCATCAAGTTGCTCAGAATATTTGCCAACAAGCTGTCAAACACTCCAACAAGCAAAGCACCATTTACATTTGGTACCAAGCTGAGTTCCGCTGAGATCCGCGAGATCGATTGCGAAATTGGCGGACTCAGTTGTAGCATCAGGAATCTTTTGAACCTCATTTTTTATATGTTCGATCGCGATAAGTATGTGGATGATATGAAAAATCTTGAACAACATCTCAAGGAGCTCCCCCGTCATTTTAATACCTCTATAGTCTTGTTATGCTGTTATCTTCTACCTGTAAACGATCAACTTGATCTTCCAATATCCGGAAATCTCTTCAAAACTTGGTTTCTTACTTTAAGAGAACAATTTGACTTGGCGTACGACAATTTCAGACAGGCTTTTTCGCGCTTTAAAGAAGAAATCCAAGCATAATCAATCTGTTCTTTTACCCACAGTTCAAAATTTGACGCACTTGTGAGTTGTGCTTCGGGCTGTGCACACTGGATTTGATCAGACCAAGCATGAAATTCATTTGCATCTTTCTCCACAACATATTGGAAAACGAACAGCATTCACCATGCTAAGACTCATAGTAGAAGCTTGGCGGCAAACCGCTATCACTCGCTAGAATTTAGAAACATTGACCCAAGCCGGGGTGTTTTTTTTCTGAGATCCACCTACGAAAAGCGAAATGCCAAAGCCGCTTATACTTGATTGCTAAGTCAGCCTCAGCAGAGCAAGGCTAAACCCCTTGCGCTTATGCTACGTTTTCCGCTTAGCAGGGCATAGCTTGGGGGACAGATTGAATAAAAGTGGGACCCCCAGTAAGATTGAGGATAAAAGTCATCAGTGGCATCCGGTTCTAGAATTTCTGATTCTGTTACAGCACCTTGGTTTTGGGTAAATCCAGGAAAACATTTCCAGTGTTTTGGCAAATCTTTGTCGGTGAAGATACCTCAGTGCTGACAATGGCTTGTTTGATTTTAATCATTGAATCATTATGTAATTCAAGTTGTTGCCTGCAATGTAAGGAAACGGCTCCTGCGGACTTTTAGCAACTCATCATAGAACATGGTCCTTTCTGATAACTAGAGTTTTCAATCCTGGAGAAGCAAATGGCTTCCTTAAAGTCTATGTACAATTGTTCAGGAACAGGAATACCATAAACCAAGGAAAACATAAGACAAGGAGAGAGAAAGCGATCCCAGAAGAAAAGGCACAATAAAGTAATCCCATCAGACAGAAAGTCATCTCAAGAAAAAGTAACCCTTGAAGACGAGACAAGAGAGAGAGGAAATGAGCAAAGCTTGGAGGAATATGTACATCTAATGAAGAACAGGAATGACAAGAGTCAGGGTAAGAGAGGACAAGAAAGAAGAGGACACAAAGGAAAAGAAGGAGTATCAACCTATATGAGGCCTGGTCTACATGTTAACTATCTGAAAAGCTTGGGGTTTTTTCGTGATTGTTAATAGATCAATGTGTAGGCTGTCCCAGTATGGCGATCGCATCCTTGAACCTTTTGATCTCGATCGGCAATTTTTCTCGCCACTCGCTGGATTCTTGTGGTTCTTGGAATTGTGACAGCGCCAAAGGATCATCCTCGAACCATTTAATTCCTCTGCTATAGCAGTTCCTGAACAGCCCTCTTTCGATAACATAGAGGCATATGGCATCAATGTACCGGTTGGCAGCGGTCAGACAGTACTCTCTTAAGAAACTTTTGACTTTAGAATAATCTATGACTTCTGGCTCGTTCGTTGTAGATCGTGAGTTCGAGGCTGGTGGTTTTGCGACACCGACACCAAAATTAAACGTTGGTATACTCGGGAACGTGTCTTCGAAACGCCAATGTTTTCCAACATTTAGGTCTTGAAGTGTGAAAGGAGAACTGAGTTCGTCATTGAGCAATTCACTAGCTTCTGTGTGCATGCGTTTTAGTTGCTGATCAAAAAATTCTGACATCCGCTCTGAGATGTAGCGATTGAGAATTGGGTTACACTCTTTTTCGGTAATTTCAACGGAAACGTCGCTAGCAAGTTGGCAGATCTCTTCAATGTGTCTTTCAGTTGGTGACAACCACTTTTGCACTACCTGCCTGCATAAGATTACGAATGGTTGGAATTGGAGCATTCCCTTGAGCTCACGCCCCCGAGTCGCCTCCATGACCTTCGCAACATCCAAACTGCTGACGGCAACGTTTGTTATCTTGATGATTTCCCGATGAAAGCCTTGATGGAGCTATTGATCACAAAATCACGAAATACAAGTCAACTTCAACAAACAGAAACAGACAGAACAAAAAATTCAAAAGTAACTTACATTCTGGACCGTTGCTCTGATGAAGCATTCTTGGTCAAAGCCTCCTTCACTGTAATTTCCATCGACGAGATTCTTGAATTGTTTCATGAAAAGATTGATATTCCTATTAAGCAAGTTCAATTTTTCGATATCGGTGGAGAGACCAGGTCCAAGTTGAGTTAACTGTTCCTCGAGCTCGTGCTTGTTCTTGATAAGATCCTTCTTGATGCCAAAGAACTCTTTTTCAATTTGTTTACTTAACATATTGGTTAATCTTTCGATTAATTTCGGAATCCCTCTATTGGTGACACTGATATCGGACCAAGGAGAACGCTTGAAGAAGATGGACTCCTTTCTCAAGGTGACGTCTCTAGAATCGCCGGCTCGACAGTCTTCAAAATTCTTATTTTTGATTATGTGATACCCTCGAGAAAGATGCATCTTTTTACCGGCAAGTATCTCCAAAACGCGACCCTCAGTTCCCAGATCAAGTAAGTCTGGTTTGGTGAGGACACACATGGTGCGTTTCCCCTCTTCATCAAAATCACGAATATGTTTGATTGCCACATTGGTTTCGAAATCGCGATTCACAGGGATAACGGCCAATATGATGGTTCTAGGCTCGAGTAAATATTTTTCGACGAGTTTTTCAATGTCCCGAGCGAGGGTCGCCGATTGACCTTGAGAGTAGGTCTGGACGTAACCCGGAAGATCAACTAGAGTGAGCATTGGTAGTTGGGGTCCACTCAATTCGATTGTGAGCACTTTTTCAGAGATGTCTTGATCTTCGCCTTCCATGATTAACTTTTTGGCGTCTTCGATTACCTCGGCGACCTCCTCCCTTGACTTTGGCAACCTCACTCGAGAGTCGATCTTGCCTTCGATAAGAACTTTGGCCGAGAATTCTTCGGCAGGGCGCATGCTCACTTCGGTCGGAAAACAGGTACATTTGCCTGAATCTTTCGGCAAGGTGACTCCCGAGATCATTTCGAGGAGGGCGGATTTTCCACTAGATTGATCTCCAACCACCACTATCTGTGGTAACGAGATACGATCCATTCGGCCTAGTTTTCTAATTTGATCCACTTTATCCAAATGACTGCGGTGGCAAGATATCGCGGGGGTGGTATCGGCGCTCGTGGACATGGCGCTTGATTTTGGATAAAAGAAGCTGCAAAGAACGGTCCAAATCAGAATGATAGAACGAGCAAAAGTCGTTAATTGGAAAGCACCTATACTCACGATTCAAATAGCCCAATTTTGAACGAGTTTCCCGTGAGAGCGAAGAGTATCAACCCAGGTAAACCCTGCTAACCCAAAGCAAACCAAAATCGTCAGTAATCTAGAAATGAGAAATCAATCTTGATGACTATCTACTGAAATTTCAACTCACGGAAACAAAGTCGCAATCGATTTACAGAAGTGAAACTTTCTATAGGAATAGGTCAAACTAAAAATCAGGAAAATATAGGTCTGGTTCAGAAATGCTAACGCGTCCACATACCTAGGTGTTTGCTGTTATTTTTGAATCCTCAGACCCCGACCATCAAAAAAAAAAATACAACAGAGATTTAGAATCAGCAACAAGAAAAGTAGAAACAATCTATCAAAGAATCGGGGATCATAATGCGTTGATTGAGTGTATGGGTATTATTGCTTACGGTGTGGGTCCTAAGAGCACCAAGAGTCAAGGGTTTTTGCGATATTTAGATTCTGAAAAGCTTTAACCTGCGATACTAGAGCGAAGGAAATATAATCAGGATAAGTTGTCTTGGCAGCAACACTCTAAAGCAGACAGATAGGTGTGACTCTCACACTGATTCACGAAACAAGAGAGCCCAATTTTTGAAAATGAATTTGAAGACTCGGGAGCAATGAAGTATTATGACTCTTTAAAATGAGCAGATTGAATGAAAAAGTGGACAGGATTAAAGATAGAGGTGAGTTGTGAAAGCGCGCAGGTGGGGTGAAAATTTTCTTTTCGTCAGTGGAAAAGGATGGAGAGACGAGCCGATTTCTCACAGTGTTTGGGATGAAGGGTTGTCGGGTGATGAGTTTCTCTGTGGGCGAAGTTTCTCTGCGGGCGAAATGAATCCCAGAAAAATGCTATGTGGTTCCTTGTATTGATAAACGAGAATAGATCTCCAAGTTTGTGAGCCACTCCCCAACGATAGAAAGACAAGTAGTCGTCCCACAAGACAACAGAACAAAGAAATCAGGCCCCACCATTCTCATCAAACGTATCATTGATGTCGTATGTATTCCCTTTCAACGAAGTAATACGTAAAACAAGAAACCCACTCCCCTTGAAGTCGAGCTGTCTCATGCCCCATCGCCAGAAGGAAGTTGTCAAGCGCCTTATTTGGTCCATGCAGTCTCACACCTCCGGAGCAGTCCAGTAGTGGTGTGTGTCATTGCCATCAATCTGATTCTTGACTCATGAAACTTATAGGAGCATCCAGTTTAGATTCCTATGTATGTAGCCTTTTTGGCATTTACCTCTTGCAGTTACACGTACCTGGTGTACATTTTCACTCTTTTCGCCAAGAAGCTTCAAGGACTGATCAACATCGGCCCGCGAAAGTGCCGGGAAGTCCCATCCAAAGAGAATTAACTGAATCAACCGTCTAGAATTTGGATGAAGGAACCGTATGCATGGAAGAAGAGACGATTGTCACAATGATCAAAAGTACTATTCCTTTATTGAGGCCTATGTAAATCTATTGAAATCAAGATGGCAGCCTATGTAGAATACGTATTTATGTAGCGGAAATCTTGTTTTTGCCTGTGAACAAGAAGAAACAACAATTGGCCGACGGGATTGAAATTTGGCTTACCTTTCTCTTCCAAGAAAGATCTTTTGTTGGATATTTTGGCACGTAAGCCAAAAGCTGCTGCGATAGAAAAGAAAGATGTGGGAGGTTAAAATTGAAGTGTCCACCGTGGGTTTAGAGCGATTTTAAGAGTCTCAAGGGGATGTGGCTGGACGGGCGCCATCATTGGCATGTACCAAAGCCGTGCGAAGCGCAACCTGCTCAACGCAGGTGGCATTTGTTGAGGTCAACAAAAAAGCTCGGAAGTATGTATCACATTAAGCCTTGAGAAGCAACACTGAAGCAGATAGGTGTTTAAGTGAACACTTTTTTTTACAAATGAATCGAGTTGAAAATTTTGATGGACGCTTGCTTTTTTTTTGGTTACTCATGAACGTTTGTTACTAGCTTTAATAAGAGCGATGAATGTCATTTTTCCAGGTTGCGTGAGGACGTGATGCACGGCAGCCGGCTCGACATAGGTGACTGTTCCAGACATCAATCCATCGTCGATATTGTAGATGTAAACCTTGAGGAGATTCGGGGTGGTCGAGGTGATGCTTGACGATCTTGATGGGACGCTGTAAGTGATCCAAGATATCGAAAACCTTTTCGGAATCGACCACACCGATCCGGCTGAAGTGATCTTCCATCCGGTTGATGAACGTGTTGATCTTGTCGGGCAGTCGGACGATTGCTTTGATTAGGATGGTCAGCTCGTCGGGGCTCACTTCTGAGAACGGATGGGGTTTGTCGCTGCTAACTCTAGAGAGCTTGTTGAGAAAGAGTCTCGATAACTTGATCACTGGGATTAGGTTCTGGAACGGTCGAAAGCCTAGATCGGCGTCCTTGGTGAGTGGATGCTCGACGACATATTGAAGCAGATCATCAACCTGGTGTACCACTGCTTGGCATCGAGCTTGGAAACCGGCGAGATCCGAGACTTGGGCCCATGCTCTAACCTGCCTCACAACACGCCCCTCGAACCTGATCGGATTATTATCCTGAGTTGCTTTTTGTCGCGTAGATTTGGATACGCGACAATTAACAAGAGGAATGCGGGTCATACAGAGAGGATCGGTCAGTTTGACTGGTACGAGATGTACTTATGCTATTTTGATTACTAGTTGAAGAACCTCACCTCGAGTATGAGATGGTGTTACTCTGTTGGAACGAGCCAATCTTGACATTTTAAAAGCTGTCCTTGTAACCTGCAGCTTCTTTCTCTAGTTTCGTCAAGCAGTGGACGAGTTTTCCGCTACGATTGTTAACAACTGTAAATGTTTACAAGCAGCAAGGGAAACAAAACAAAACAATGTGAGAGCCTGTGGTGAAGTCAAGAGCCACGGTCCAGAAGAGAGCTCAAATCCACCAACTTCAGATTAGAAAGTACTATTTACAGATGGTTCCAATTTAGTGAGTCGTTGAGAGGAAGTTGTGGTTTGCTGCTGAGTGGTTTATGAGATGGACCAGAGCAAGAGGGAAGGAACTCCCTGTGCCAGAGGCAGAGAGCATTTAAACAGCAACAGGGTCGAGTTTGCTTTCCTGTTTCCAGTCTCACGGATCTCCTGTCCCTTCTCCACCCATTTTAATCTTCTCCGCCTTGCTTTTTGGCTTATCACATCATCCTCACACCAAAAATGAAATATCCACTTCATGCTAGAGACATCAGAGCGTCATGCAGAATCCGATGGGCGAATGTGGCTGATGAACGACGAGACTGAAAATTGGTTCAGGCTTCGTTTGGCCGTCCATGATCGTCATAAACGATCATGGCAGATATTTCGGGGGTGCACAGCTAATGACGGGGCCTCACGATGGTGTTTGGGAGGCCACATCATATCGAACGAACTTATCGCAAGTCTCAGGCTGCGGGGGGCGCATCTGGCAGCGTAGCGCTGGCCAGGCGGTTCCCGAAGGGAACTCCCCGCAGGGGAGACTTGGGCCAGAGGTCGACAAACTCAGGTGCTGAGTTTCTGGTGTTTTGGTGGGAGCGTCACAAGATTTGAAATCATGACGCTCCCTCAAAACTTTTTTGATGTTTGGTCTCGAATTTTTCAAGACCTGCCTGATCTTGTTGATCAGGCCAAATTTCAAAATTTTAAAATCACAAAAGTAATCAATATTGATTTTCTAAAATCAACGTTTGAACTTTTTTTATGCTCACATAAGCAGCTTAATGAACTCGCGCACACCAAAAAAAACTCAACTTTTGTTGAAAAGTTGTCATTTTCAAAAATAACTATATCAAAATTGACAAAATTACAAAATAATGTGAGGAGAGGGAAACATTTACAAGAAGCAGGCCCTCCTTGGTCTACAAGGGAATTAGATAATAGTGGAAGAGGAAGAGCTTAGGTAGAAAAATGCACAAAAAACTGGCTTTTAAGCCCAAATTTGAAAACTCAGCACGCGGGGATTGCCGCATCTGTCTTAGGCCTCCACTGGCGTGGACAGCTCCGCTGCTCGCTCCCGCTCCCGCCGTGGAGGCCTAGTTAGGCTCGCATATCGAATCTCTTATGACGGAAATGGTCAACGAGATATATTCTCTGCCAAATCCAAGATTTTGGGTCCCCCCCCAAAATTTTGCGTCATAAGTGCCGCTTCGGTGCTCTCATCACCCTCGGGCCGACTCGGCTTTCCCTTACAACAACTCCCATATCACCCCCCAGCTGCACACCACCCCCTCTGACCGGCACCATGCCCCCCCCATCCTCCTAAACCGCCGTTCCGATCCTCCACTTCCGAGGCGCACCAAACAGCCACATCGTTATTGATATGGATTTTCAGGCTGCGTCATCTGCACAGCCTGAAAGAATCAAACCTAAATTCTGATTTGACGATTTTCGATGACGGTCTACGACGATTGTGGACGGCCAAACGAAGCCTCAAATTGTCAAGGAGTGCTCTAAAGTGTTTGATATTGTAAGTTAGTAAGCCAAAACAGCATACTTATCATGCTACGGCCGCCTGGAGATTTATGGTAGCGGCGTTCACATTTGGCCCTTGTCAGCACTATGTTATGTATGACGTTGATCTCATGCGGCGTTGAATCTTTGAGGTTGCTTCTGACACTACAATCAATCGTGAAAGATTTTCGGAATTGCAGTGGAAGAAACATCTCAGCCCTGAGGAACTAGGGAACCAGTAACTTCGTTATGATGCGACGGCCCCAAAGACTGAGTTGGGCTTGCATATTCCTGTTAACTATGTATTAATCAATTCAAGTTCGCTATTGACACTGCAGTTGAAATCATGCTGAAATAAGAGGCTCCATAAAGCTGAAAGGCATAGCCCTCAGTCCCGGAGTGGTTGGGCAGTTGTGCATTCCCTCTTTCCTTGCGGATCTTGAACCGGCATGTGATTAATTTTTTCTATATCATGTGAATACCTGCTCAAGTGGCTTACCAAACAATATCTACCCATCCAATTATTCAAGTCGGTGATGATGTCAGGACGAAGGAGTAACTGAGGGGCTCGAGATGTCAAATTAATGATATTTGCAACGGTTTGGAGAAATTAGTGGCAAATCCAGATAATATGCTGAAGGTAATTTGAAATAGCATCGGGAGTTTAGGCAATAAAACTGTCAATAAGCCATCCAGCTGACGCCCTGCATTGCAATCGAAAAGAAAGAGAACACGTCTATCGCGCAGTTTGATCTTTACACCAATACCCCGCGATCAAAAATGTAAAGCTCTTGGAGTTTGCCTGGACCAAAGTTAGTGTAAGAGTACTGTCTTATCACCAAATTGCACATCTATAACCAAGCAGAATATAACCATCCGAGCCAACAACCACCTTTTCCGATAAAACACAGTGGTCATGTCTGCTTGGAAACCTGCTTGACTGTTCATTCTACACATCAATGCATACATTTCTGACTATGATCTACATCGAAATAGATATGCATAACCTTGAATCAAGAACGTATGTACGTCAAAATTAAGAAGGACTGTTTTGGGTTTATTTGTGATACATTTTCCATCGCTCGAGAAGATACTTTATTTACTGGATGAAGGATCCGCGAGGAGGAAATCGTCCAGTCGCAGTGATTGAGGTTGTGACTTGTGATCTAACTGTCGATCAGAGGTGGGGTCCTTGATGAGTTGGGAGAGCAGGGTGGGATGAGATTGATGGGACTGATTGAAATCCAGACTGAGGTCTTCCAGAACTCCTTCATCGTCATCGTCATCGGGAATGAAAAGCGGCTTCTCTGCGCGATGTGCTTGGGCGCGAGGATGGGTCGGTTTTGCTTTCTCGCCAACGGTGGACGGCATGGCATCTTCTTCCATTTGAGACGAACCAACTAACGGAAATGGCTCGATTCTAATCCCAGATTGAAATAGGAAACAAAAGAAGCATGTTAGATGATTCAAGGAATCGAACTGAAGAAAAACAAGTGTCTGCATCAATGTGAGAGACTCACATCACCATCAAGGATTTGCCGAAGATCGAGAACGGTTCATAGTGGACTTTGAGCGAAGAAGATGGTAGGTCGGGTTTGATATCTTCCTCATCAGACTCGACATCCTCTTTCTCTGGAGTCACTAGGTCGGATTGAACCGGATGAATGGTTTCCCTCGACTTGAGTAGAATTGAGTGCTGGTACGTCAGATTTCTATATACACTCGTGATTCGATGAACAATCAGAACCAAGAAACAATCCGTTTGAGGAAGATGGACGAACAGGTGGCTTTACTGACCTGAAATAATATCCAAACTGAAACCCGGAACCCCGGTAGATATCCAACTTGCTTTTCTTGCTCGTCGAGTTATTCTCGTCGTTTAGCTTGTTGAGGATCCTAGGCTTGAGGATTTCGATGAGCTTGGACAGGATCGCTTCCGAGTTCGTCTCAAACCAATCCAGATGAGGCGGATCGATTAACAGTTTCGTCATCAGTACGCATCGCTTGGATATCCTCAAATAAATCAAGTTCTTGGCTGCAGAAAAAAACACAACAAATCCCGTTAATTATTATGTGACAGGAACACAGCTGATGATGATTATATGTAACCCTAGACGGTCAGGATGAGGTCGTTCGCACCTTGAAATTTGCGACTTGGGTTGGAGTTTGTAGTAGACATCGCCGCCGCCTGATGAATGTTACATTGACTGCACCACCGGGATAGCCAAGCCGATCGAGTTGGTCAGAAGGGACGAGCACAATCATTTTTGAGCCGAAATTGTCTACATAGGGCTGGTGGATCACTGTGGGGAGGCAGTCGATCGCGGCCTGTGAAATCTCGCGAACGCGCGACGCGCCATCGACCGTTACACCACCGGAGTCACTCTGCCAGCTCCCCAAGTTGGACATCTACAACATCAGATCAGGGATCACCAGCACAACAGCTCGTATACATACATATTCATATGGCGAACACCACTCAGAGAGGTAGCTTCATTGTCTTCGAGGGACTCGATAGGTCAGGAAAGTCAACACAATGTCGCCGTCTGGAAGAGAAACTCAAACAAGCCGGACGAACGGTGGAATCGATCCGGTTCCCAGGTCAGTAGAATCAGCAATCGACCTATCAAGGCTGTCGCACTTTCTCTCTCAAATTTACCCGATCATCTAGGAATCTAACTTGTTTGCCTGTCCTCGCTACATACATAGACCGGACCACCGCGATCGGGCAGATGATCAATTCCTATCTTTGTCAAACTTCGGAACTGGATGATCATGCGATTCACTTGCTATTCGCTGCCAACCGTTGGGAAAAGAGGTTAGTACTGATTTGATTATTGACCTTACCGCGAGTCTCTCATCGTCTCTTTCTGATCGTCCTGTTTTTTTTTTTGTTAATTTTCTAGCGCCGATATCCATACTACCTTACGATCCGGGACGACAATAATTTGTGATCGATATGCGTTTTCGGGAACCGCCTTCACAGCTGCGAAGTTCAGCATCCGAACGCCGCCAGAACCGGAGCCTATTGCGACACTAGCATGTGCAGACCGAGGTCTGCCGTTACCAGACCTAGTCATCTTCCTCACTCTTGGCGATCAATCATTGGACAATCGTGAAGGTTTTGGGAACGAGCGATATGAGAACACAGAACTCCAAGACGAGGTCAAGCGACAGTTCACCCAGGTCGTTCGGCCCTACTTTGAAGAGATACATGGGCGTGATAGATGGGTGAACGTTGATGCAACTGGAACTATTGAAGAGGTTGAGCAGCGCATTTGGCATGTCGTCGACAACCATCTGCAGCATTTCGTCCCGCAATCAACTGGAAAATTATGGGTCGCATGACCAGACCCTCTCACATACTGATGCCATCCTCGAGAAATTCGAAATCATCTACTCTCGAGTACAATCAAATAAAAACTGCTCCGCGACGGCATCCGTATCACTTTTTTGTGACATGGAGCTGTAAGACGTCAGACTCCAAGTCTATTTTTCCCCCTACGATGTTTTGCTCATAGATGTGGTCCAATTTACACAGGAAAGTATACTCTTTCAGAAATCCAGGTTGTATTATTAGGAAAGGGATAGGGTAGATAAAAGAAAGACTACAAGAAATTGAAATTATGCATCATCTATTCAACAACATTCTGATCGCCTGCTCAACTGAAACAGTGACATAGAGGTGAATGAAATCTATGCTAGCTGCTGCCTCCTGTTCAATATCTTGTCTCCTCTCATGGCTTTGCGTCCGGACTCCAGGATGGGGGTACATACCTTGAAAGCTATGGATCCAGAAGTAGGGATAAATACATCCCTGAGATGTCGAAGACCATATCTTTGCAGACTCACTCAGACTGAATTCCATAGGAATAGATGCACTTCCTTTTGAGCTTTAGTTACCTGACACTGCAGATAACTTGTTTCCTAATATCTGGCTCTCCTCAATCCAAAATAAAGACGGCCAAGCCTCGATGATAAGTCAGGATATGGAGACAACCTGAGAAAGGATAGCAATCTGCAGATATGTTCTGTCAACTTCCAGTGTACAGCACAGGTTTCTTCTGCTTAAGAATACATCACAAACTAAGCATCCCGTACTTTCCTGGGTTTTTTTAGGGGTAGATGCTTGTTGCAATCTATGACTTGCACGTTTTCTTAAAAGTAAAAATCCAACATCTGTTTCGACGCCACTCTGTCGCATGGGGCGAGACTTGAGTTATGGGGAGTAACAGAGCTCTGCAAGGTTACAGTAAAGTTATTGGTAAGCCAGGTTACAGTGCACCGGATGCATAGCGCACAGCGTCGCACAGACTCGTGAGCGGTTTTCGCTTGTTTTTTTTTTTCTCTGCTCGGTAATTTTGGGTTGAGCCAATTTCGCGATGGCGGCGAGTTGGCTAAAATGCCTCAGTCTCCATGTCATCCACTGATTGCCAGTTGACAGTCCAAGGGCAAATCAACCGATTATCTTATCATTAACCTTCCGTCCATCGTCTCGCTCCCCTCTATCTTTCTCAAACTTATCACCAATCTATCCATCCAACACCACCACCACTACCACCTCAAGAAATACACTCTCGCCACATTAACCCGGCGATACTCAATTTGCCTAAATGTCTCCCCTGGCCTCGCTTCCTCCCTCTCCTCCATCTCGTTGCTCATCCCATCGCAATCCCGTTTACCGCTTCGTTCCCCCGGACCACAACCATTCACCCAGACCGATATACCAATCGTACGTAGCTCGATACTTTCATGATCCGTTTATCTTTCACATCCTCAAACGGCCTCAATCTTACTTTCACTTTTTATAGTTCAGGATCACTTGGTTTCAGTCAACATGCCTGCCTACTATCAACGCCTTCTCCTAGCCATCAGCCGTCCTCTTAAGCTTGAGAATGCGACGCCATCCATCCAAAGCCTCGCCACGCAGCCTCTCATATCAACCCCGGTGACCCCGTTTCCTGCTACCCCCCGGCCCCCGCCGCACCGAACGGAATTCCACGTCATCAATCCACGAACTGGTCTCCTCTCGAATCCTCAAGATATGCACAGTAGTGTCTAGGCCTTGTGTCGACCAAAGCTCATTTCAAGCTCACAACTCGACTGAACTGAGCTTCAAAAGCCCCCTCGCCCGTTACAACACCGCTACAGCAACCTTCATGAATCAATCACGTTGGTCTTGCTATCCCCGGTAATCGGAGGAACTTATGAACAGGCACATGTAGTCAGCCAGCTCGGTTTCCAGTACACCCCATATCATTTCACATGTTTGCACCGCACGGATAATGGATAACGGTCTGATGAAGAACGACGCCGTGGCTCATGCACGACTACTGTAGCCAGAAAAGCTGCTGTGTATGCCGCAGTACGCAGCACTTTGCAATTCATTCGTCTCTCACGCTTGGCTCTCAACCAACGTCTGTTCACTTGCCCGCCTTCGTTCAGTCCTCCCTCGACTGCGTGTGAAAACTTTTGCCCGGTCGTCACACTTGCAGCGCTTAATAATCTTTGCTAATTCCTGGGTCTGCCCTGCAACTTTTCCCCAGAAAACGGCTGCTGCCCACCGGACACTACAAATCACCTATTTATCTTCTAGCCTGAAACAAGTCTCAAAACACGCAGCAACAGATTTCATCATCCACTCGTCTTGAACTTCTGTTTCGAAGAACCCCAATCGTACCCGCTCGTTCCCTCCCCCCCCTCGCACCAATGGATCACAATGGTATGGCCGGTATGTCTGGCATGTCGATGGATCAGATGACCCGTCCTAAACCCGAACACAGCGGAATGGGGATGATGATGTACGCTGCCAGTTTTCGTCTTGTTTTGCTCTATTCAACCACCTGGTTGATGAGTAGAGCAGCGTTTGCTTGGGTTTGAGTTGACCCACTAACGAAAAAAAAAACTTTCCACCACAGGAACACGTTTTTCATTGCCGGAAATCCCACTGTACCCCTGTGGTTCGATGGCTGGACGCCATCCAGTGGCGGCGCGACCTTCGGAGCCTGTTTTGGATTGTTTGTGTTGACAGTAGCTGTCAAGCTCTTGGGGGCCCTCCGTCATCAAGCTCACCTCGCATGGTCGATGTCCAAATGGCACGACAGCGGGCTCACGACGCACCAAACGATCGACAAGACCAATGACCATGCGACCCCTCAACCCGGCTCGCTTCGACCCACCAAACCCGCAGTCCCCTGGAGCGCTCAACGTGACATACCTCGGGGTATCCTGGCTGCGCTCCATGTCGGTCTTGAATATTTCCTCATGGTGAGCTCGATGATCTCTGGATCGGCCAAGCTATCGGCTTCAATGGCTGAACCACTCCTTTGTTTTTTTTTCTTTCAGTTGGCCGTCATGACGTTCAACGTCTACTTCTTCGTCGCTATCGTACTTGGCCATTTCGTCGGCGAGGTGGCCTTTGGAAGATGGAGCACTGTCCAGGGAGCTCATTGCTGATTTCTCTCGGTCTTCACCCCGCAAAACTAATGGCTACTCTACTCTCGCCATCGTACAACTCCCCGCTCGTCGCCTAGCAACTGCCCATCTTTCTCCTCTCTCCCATCTTTCTTCTTTCTCCCATATTTCTAAATTCAGTCCATCATCTATTCGTCCTTCCCTGATGAACCATTTTAATTTTCTACTATTTCATTCAACCTTTCTCTTATGAGCATGTATTAATTATACGAACATTACAAGTGCTCTCGCATGCCTATCTATCAATTTCAGTTCTCGCGCTCTGGTTTCCGATGCATCTTGCATCCATGTTTCTTCTCACTGTCCGAGCAAGAGAGGAGGAGGAAGAAGCCGTTCCCTCTTGTGCTCTCCACATACGGCCAGAGTTGACTGGCTGAGATCTTCTTGGCATCCTTGCCAACACCATTAGCAGCTGCACTAGTAGCAAGTCCTGTGCCACAACAAACTATGTCTCTTGAAATCAAAGCCACAATAGCCCTTCTGGCACCATTTATGTTTTGTCATGATTGTGGCTAATTGTGTCACATTGCAAGGTTGTGTTGCACTCGTATGAAGGCACATCACGATTTCTGTAGGAACTGTCATACTCGATACAAGGGGGGAGACAAACTTTCTGATGGGGTTGGTGAGGTTATGGGTGTTAACATTGATTTGCCCACACCCATCTTCATCAAAATAACCCAAAACTTGGATATCTAGGCAACATATGGCAAAAAAGTATATAGAGTGGAACTCATCCAAGATTTCTCTCACAGGAGCTTCTGTTTGTGGCTCTGAAAGGATGGAAAGTCGAGGGGATAGAATGTTGGTGAACGGATTGAATTTTTTCCTCAGAGGAAATGTTTGGGATGGTTTGTGTAAATGGTTATAAGCAAGCGCAAAGGTGGGAGTGCATGTTTTGCTTATCACATTCCCTGCTACATAATCATCTGAGATGGCCAAACATTGAAGCAACCCCTTTACCTCTTCAAAATCCTATCCAAATCCGACATACCAGACCCAAAAAATCAAATGTTATTACTGAATTATGTGTGAAGTGAGCATAAGTTGTATGAGCTACCCATTGATTAAACAGGTTGTCACTAGTACATCCCTTCATCAGGGTAGAAAGCATATGTTTTGCTAGAGTGGTAGTCAAGCCAGCACAAAAAAAGCGCATAGCCACTGTGGTTTAATCACAAACGTCCTCTGGCGAGCATTTCTTTTTCCTGGTGAAAGATACTCCTCTTTGACTCTTCTTGATTTCCACACACTTTGGGCCCAATTACACCATCTTCCTGAAGAGAGTTGACTGATTTGTTATGCTAACATCCAACGATTTCACTACTAGATTTACGACTGTATTGGATGTATAATTTTCACCCTGGTATCAGTAACCATACCACACATGACCTACAGCAAATCATAGACCCTCAAACTCAGCTTGAATGTTCTCTCGTTCTATCACTCCAATCGACATAGTCTCTGTGCAGAAAATCGTCAACATAATTGACCCCTTAATTGTCCTGTATCTCCGTACATGAAAAGCAAGTTTTGATCGAGGTTCTCTCTCATGAATTTGCTGTACCAAGATGAGATGAGCAAACACTATTCATAGGTTCAAATAATCATTGAAGTTAACACATGCCTCAATGTTGATTAAAATACAGGATAAGAGTCCATTGTCAGTAACCAAGGACTTTCACTCAGATCGGAAAGCAACACTCCTCCCCCCTTTTTTTGAACAGGAGGCCAATACACAAGTGAGATCCTTCTTTTGAAAGATGCATGAATAAGGCCCGGAAGGATGTCTGTGACTATGATGGTCATTTGAATTCAAATCAATTGCTTGCTCAGGGGTTTTGTGAGTGACAGAAATTTGATTTTGGAAAAGTAAACAGCAAAGTAGTAAAAAACCAAGATAATTTCCTCACTCATTCCTCTCCCAGAGGCTTGCCTTTCAAATTGGGAAAAAGGGATGGGGGTATGATGGGGGAGGGAGTCATGAAGGAGGGAAAGCTAGCCAGTTCAAAAGAAGCAAAAGGCCACCATGTCAGGGGAAATCAAGACAAATGCCAGCATCTCCCTGGCCTGCATTTAGTGCATCATACCAGCATGGGACCCACACCTCCGCGTTGGGCATCAAAATCATCAAAATCAAAAGATTAACCCATTCTCTCCGTCCGGGAATTGAACCCGGGTCACCCGCGTGACAAGCGGGTATACTGACCTCTATACTAACGAAGAATGTCGATATCTGGCGAGCGAATTCGGTCTATTTGATTATATTTATAGATTTCTGGATGGTAGTTTGCCAGTTATCATACATATCATGATGCATTACAGGATTGATTATTGTCCACTTTGGTTTTTTTGTCCAAGACATCAAGCTATTCCTGTTCCACAGCGAGTAAGTATCAGCCACTAGAAAACTTCATGAAGGCCATGCGGAATGCTGATTGTGAGCTAGCCTTGCCCTTGGCCGTTTCGTGGTGATTTCGTTTGCTGAGGCTTTTATTCACTTGTACTCTTCGTCGAAGATATTTAACTTCTCCCGTCTCTTCGGACTCTCGTGTTGTTCAGGACAATCGGAAGTCCAGCAACAACATGGTATTGCTTGACTAAAAATATCCACTGTTGGCTTAAACAACCTTTGGCCTTTTCCTGGCCGCAATTGATGTCTAGCCATGGCCTAGCATTCGGTTCCACTTCCAAGATGTCCCTGGGATGCTCGCAAGTCTGTCTTTCCTGTACCGGTAGAGTTCAGCCACTTGTTCATGGGCTCCGGTGGAACACGGATAAAACTGATTATATGTGCTGCGGATGTATGCATGGGTGCCCTTGCTTGAAGGGAGTGGTGCGCAGTCGGTGAAAGGTGTGCTGGTTGGCCGGCGGACAATCGAAGGTGTCCCCTCGCTCCTCCCCCGCTCCCTGAGCACCCGTGGCAGCCCAGGCTGCCCCACTGCCCTCGCCCAGTTGTTTGGCCGAGCCCCGGGGGTATTTGAACCCACACCGGACTTCCCTGACTCGCCAGCAGCACTTCCCACCTCCAACCAACACACCCTCACACCCAGCCAGGCCTCAGGTCAGTTTCAGTATATAGCACTGTCCCCCCTCCCTCCTCTTCCGATCTCCGGGAAAACTGCTTCAGTCTAAAATCGTTTGGAAGGATTCCTGCTATCCCGGTCTAGGTTACGATCACTTTCCTCCTACCTCCAACCGTTTGAACTGCTAGACCATCTACAATGGCCGAATCAACCACGATTCCTACCTTCAAACTTGTCCTCGGTTAGCCCTCTTGCCACCGATATCTGCTCGTCTCTTTGTCTCGAGATCCTCTTCTCCCATCTAACCAGTCCCATGTACTGACTTCGATTGTCTGATCGACTATCGCGAAAACTCTGCTTGATGGTCTTTTCTATCCTACTTGACTCCCTCCCTAATCTGTGCCCATGTGTATATCTGTTGACCAACCAACGCTTCCTCAGTCGGTGATGGAGGTACCGGTAAAACCACATTTGTCAAGCGACATTTGACCGGTGAATTTGAGAAAAAGTGGGTCTCTTTCTCTCTTAATGACGCGTCCCGATCTCGATGTTTTGCTGATAGCCAACCCCCTTGCCTCAGGTACATCGCCACACTAGGTGTCGAAGTGCACCCTTTGGCATTCCACACCAACCATGGTAAGGCCCACAATCTTGAACGATTGATTCTTGCTGTTCTGGTTTACTTGGCACTCACTTTATTCGCCCCCCCCGTCATAGGTATGATTTGCTTCAACGTTTGGGATACCGCAGGTCAGGAAAAGTTTGGTGGTCTCCGAGATGGTTACTACATTCAAGGTCAATGTGGGATCATCATGTTCGATGTGACCTCCAAAATCACCTACAAGAACGTCCCCAACTGGTTCAGGGATTTGGAGCGTGTTTGCGAAGGTATTCCAATCGTATTGTGCGGAAACAAGGTTGACGTCAAGGTAAGTTATGCTTTCATTGCTCTTAAATCCACACATTTCCCAACTTCAGTCGACTCAATCCGGTTTGCCTATCTGAATTCCGTTTACAGGAGCGCAAGGTCAAGACTGGCTCCGTCACTTTCCACCGCAAGAAGAATCTGCAATACTTCGAAATCTCTGCCAAATCAAACTACAACTTTGAGAAGCCCTTCCTTTGGCTAGCACGAAAACTGTCTGGGTAATTTGATCCCCTTTGCTTATCTAACGCGTTATGACTGCTGGTGATCTAACCGATTCTCTCCTTACCTTTCTTTCGTTTCTAAGAACAACCAACCTCGAATTTGTTGCCGCCCCTGCCTTGGCACCACCCGAAGTTGCAGTCGATGCCAACTTGATGGAAACCTACAACAGAGAGCTCGAGGCCGCTGCCGCGGCTCCTCTTCCTGACGAGGACGACGCAGATCTTTAATGGAGCAAAAAGGCTTTCTTATATTTAGTCATCCATCCCATAGTTTTACCTCCACTACCCCCCTCCCTCCCCATCCTCAACGCCCCTCCACATTATGATTGTTACGCTCATCGCAATTTACTGATGAAGCATCTCAAAAAACGTTAAAAAACAAAAATGATCGAAATGTCAAAGCTTTTATCTTTTCCCGCTATTGTCTCTGCTTTGATTGAGATTGGTCAGGTACGACCAACTCAAACCCCTCGTGCGGCTAGCAATGCTCTCTTTCAGTGGTGCTGCACATCTAGTCTTTTCGTCCAAATTAGCTATATTGGCCGTTTCGCGGTACCGGTATCTGCTTAAGAAAATCCTGTAACCAGTTTTGTCATTTACCCGAGGTTCAATCGTAGATCTCTTTTGAAGTGTGGGTGATTAAGCCGAGCCAGGGTGCTCTCTCCCTCATCACACATTCGCAAGTCTTTCGCTCGCTTCGCAATCTCGCCAATTGGACGCAGGCCCACGGGCCGATGCGTGATTACCGATTCTAATCGTCATGAGGGCTTTCAGCGGCTTGATGATGTCTAGCAATATGTAATCGACGGTGTACAGATACAATACCTGTCACTTGTGCTGTCCGCTTGAGCAAACCGTTGTCACCAAACGCGTATCGCAAAGTAATCCTCAGTTAAGCCGTTTGACCGAGCCGCGCTGAAAGAAGGGTTCCCTTGAGATCGTGCTTCCATTCTGAGTTATCATACGCAGAACCTTATTGACTTTATTTTCCCGAAAATGCGCATATCCGTGGTAATGCTTTATTTCCTCATCTTAGTGATGCAATATTCACGGTCCATGGCCCGGCCAAATCTTCGGCCAGGAGAAGGCCAAGAACTCCATCCGTTCATTGGGCATGCCGTTGGGTCTGAATTTTTTGCTGGATTTCCAACGGAATGGGATGACAGAAACAGTCATATCTCGAGGGGGCAAGGTAGGGGAAAAATTACATGTCCCTAGTGCTTATTTTTTTTTGTCCCACTTGACCGACATTTTTCATTTGATGTTTCGATTATCTATAGTGGGAAGCCAGCTAATTGGAACCGGCGCTTCTTACCAACGTCCCGAAAAGAGGCTCAAGAAAAATCCGGAATTTTGTGCAGATGATGCCTTGCTATCATCATCCCATTTGGCACGAGAGGGTAAGCAATTTTTTTTTTTTCTTGTGAGAATCAGCACCAAGGGGAGTGCGCTGGCATCGAGAGCAAACAAGCCTCAAAAGGCTGACAACTTCTTGAATCAAACATGAAGTAGAAGCAAGTACGCTGGATGAGCTAGGAGGAGGAGCCCATAAACTGGGCGATTTTCCTGCACCAGAAGCAACATTCACTTCTCACACTTCGCTTTTACCAATCCCATCTTCAAGGAAGATATCTGAAGGCTTCCCTTTGTCACCATTTCCGCCCTCTACTCTTTCCCTTGCTGGAGTTTTTGAAACTTTTGAAGAAGAGATGCTTCGGCCTCACCCAAATCTTGATCTGTTTTACGATTATGTCCAGCCTTCGCTTCTTCACTCTTTCCCACCACTTGAAGGGCGACCCTCAGATTGCCATGGATTGGATTATTTCCATTCCATACCCATTCTTGAATCAGGAAATTCACCCCATCAAATTTTTATTGAAAAAAATAGTAAGCCACAATGATTTTCAATTTTTAGTCATGCTTCTTCTTCTTTGGAATATTAATATTTGACCCGCTGACATGACACATTGCAATGCAGCCTTAGAACAAAGCAGTGTCTTTCCCAATTCCCACCCAGAACTAGGTCCAGCTGGTATGGCTCCTGCGGGTGTGGTACCAGCTCTTTCTGCAATGACACCAGCTCCTACTGGTATGAATCCTGATGATTTGGCACCAGCTCCTACTGGTATGGATTACCTTGACAGAAATTCAGGATTGCTGCATTCTTCATATCCAGACACAGAATCCAGTCTAGAGTTGGGAAAATTGTTTGAAACTGATCCGCTTCAGAATGAAGGAAAGTCTACCCATCTTAATATCCTATAATTGTTATTCATATTTTCATTAAATTTTGTTAATAATTCAAAATAGGCCTAAGCAGCATCGATACCAATTGGGAGTGGCCAATAACAGACACATCTGGTATGGAAAACAATAGATATTCACAGCTTACAAATTATTGGAATCTTCCAGAAGTTGAATCCCTTCTAGATTTACAAAATCATGGTATGTCAAGAAAGCCTTGATATTCAGTTCAGATTTAAGATCTAAAATATGGTGCAATTCCAAATCAGATATAGATTCAAATACTTCCATTCCAAGTAAAAAAGTACTGGAAACATACAAAAGTTTTGCCGCTCTTCTTTCAGGGGTCAAAGATGATCATGGTATGGATTCAAATTTGGAAGGAGCTACCTCTGAATCCAATCAAATAAACACCGATGAATTGGAGAATTCCAGTGTTCAAGAAAAAGTACAATATCTGACCAATAATATTGATTACTTAGACTGGAGGTTAAATTTTCAGTCTGAAATTGAGATTAGTGATTCATTGATTGATGATATTATGGAAAATTTCAATCAGAACCTTGAGATAGTATTTGGAAATTTCAAAAAGGTTGGAAAAAATAAAAAAGGTTCAGAAGATTCTAATATTTTCCAGGCTTCAAAACAAAAAGCTTCTACACATCAAAGGATTGGTCGAATTCAAAACAATTTCAAATGTCTTATCAAGTGCCTTTTTTTCATCCATCAAGAAATTACCAAGCAATTTAATCTTCTTGGTGATGTAAATATGAATGAAGAATTGGCTGAATGGACACTGAAAGAACTGTTTCATCCAGAAAAATGTAGTGCAACCATCCTTGGGATACTTGAAACAGGGGATCCTTCAAAGAAACTTCAAGAATCTGGAGTGTGCAACAAAAGAGCTTTGCTTGAAAAGACATTGTACAAATTTCCAACAAAATCCCTAGAAACATCTACTTCACTAATCAACATTTGGTACAAAGATTTCAAACCTGAATTATGGAAACAAATCAATGCAATAAATTGTGGGAAAAAAACAGAATTAAGCATTAAAATGGTTGTATGCAAATCACTTTATCAAGAAAAGATATTTGATAGTAATTCAAATTAATTTTACCATTCTGATGAACTAGGTAAGTTAAAGATACTAAAAATACAAAATTTACCAGAAACAATGAAACCTAAAAAGTTTCTGAGAAGATCCAAAGAGTTCCCTATAGAGAAAGATGTTTGGGAGCTCATGTTTCTTCACAATTACAAACAGAAGAAGAAATATATTGAAATAAGTGGTGTTCCAGTCCAAATGTGGGAGCATAAAACTCCAAAACATACATACAAAATCAAAATCAAACTCAATTCAGATAATCATGACAAATGGAAACAGCACATTAATACAAAGTTAAATTTTCTAATCATCCATTTGAAGATAGTACACAAAGATCTGATTTCCATCAAGAAAGCTAGTGGTATGAGCTTGATTCCAAATGAATTGGATTCCTTTGATGAATGGTTTGGAAACATTCTACTCAAACAAGATCAGACCAGCTTCCCAATCTTTGGAGATGTGACTGTTTCAAAGGATCATCAATTTACACCCCTAGACTTTGGCCCAATGCAAATCTACCTCATCAAAGAATACTTCAGTGATGTCAATTCAAGCAAGAAAGTCCTCCTGGTTTCACTCGTCTTGATTTCTTACTGGTATCAAACCTTTCATCCAAATCATTTCTTCCAAAAGGAGGAAGAGTTTTGGAAGTCTATGATTGAATCTTTAGAACCTAAGCTAGAATTTCAAGATGAATACTCATTAATCAATTTTGATGATGAGGGAAATTTCATTTCCAAAAGATTTTCCAATAAGAAATTCAGATCACAACAGAAAGCTAGGTTTATACCTCAGACTCTTGCTTGAATTCTTTTTTCTCCCTGGAATATTGCAAATACATAAAAGATTGTCAAATATTTTTCTTAAGATGTTCCATATCTTTTCTCATCCACTCAAAGAAGGTGGTTGGGCAGGGAAAGAATAGTAAAAGTTCTCTTGGATATTTTTTTGATGATCCAAACTATCTTTTGATCTGTGAACCTTTTCTTAATTTGAGAGATCTGTATTGGGATTCCAGGAATTTCTGGTGTGGAATCATTAACCTCATCAATCCCAATTCCTTTAATCAAACTACTAATCAATCACAAATTCCCTTACATTTTCTACGTCTCTTTCTTCTTCTTTTTCCTGTCCTTTTCTTCTTCTCTTTTCAATCTTAGTGGTCTAGATTTTAACTGGCTAGAAGTTCCAATCCTATGTTATTCTCATGTGAATTTCTGATGATACTTAGGTTTACTAAACTTGATCCTATTCCTTGCTTGTCCCACTATTTGGTTTGTTTCATCCCTCTTATGATTCCAACACTGCAAGAAAATCACAGGTAACAGGTATCAGTTAGAGATGGTTGGTCCGCATCCGGATATCCGTTTGGATGCGGATATCCGATGGCAATTTCAGAGAAATTGCACATCCACATCCGCACCCGCACCCGCTAGCGGGTATCCTTGGATACCCGCCCTCTAAAGGGCCGGCGACGGACCGGCTGGAAGGGCTTCCTTCCAGCCGGCCATCTCCCCTTCCGGCCGCGGGTATCCTTTGGGATACCCGGATACCCGCCAGCAATTTGCGGAAAAGGGGCCATCCGCACCCGAATCCGCACCCGCTGGCGGGTATCCGTTGGCACAGGCGGGTATCCGCCAGCGGATAACGGGTATCCGCGACGGATACCCTTTGACCATCTCTAGTATCAGTTGAATGCAGGATACTCCAGTATCAACTTTGTTGAAACCACTGGATATCCCAGAGCAATGCCTTCTGCACAGTTACTGTGCATCAAAGTTTGACCAAAGTAAGCACTCAGTAAGATTTGAGTTGAAGAACATGGTTCAGCAAAGTCTTTGGGTGTCAACTGCCAGCAGTTTGAGGGGGTTTTCTTGTAGTGAAATATACCTTTCCTGTCTTGAATATTGCTTTGGGCAAGGCTAAGTTTCTGAACATGAGGGATTCATCCCATTAAGTCTTTTTGACCCGTCAAGAGATGGTCACCACAGTACACAAAGTGTTTTTTCCGCTGCACAAACTATAAGTCCTTTGACAAAGTTGCTCAAACCAACATTGTCCTGATACATCAAATGTTCCAGCTATTTGACAGCTTCAACAATATGCTACCAAGACCCCAGAAATTATGCTTTCTGATATTGAAACAATTCACTGACAAATAGTAGTTTTTTGTCTTGAGTCTCACTATATAGGGTATTGGCAAAAAGTGCTGATAGAAATTTGGAGAAGTTTCTCAGGTTATAAAGACAGGTTTAATGATCATGGAAATGCAAACAATCAGCTTGTTTCCTGGTGTATGGATGTAGCCTAGATGTAGTTGGTACAGCAGTACCCAGCAGTACCTGATATGTGAAGCCTCTGATGCCAAAAAGGTGATGGCATCCTGCTGGAATCACTATTTATCAAGATTTCATGTTCCAAAAACATGTAGAGAGTTGGTGAGAATGGCAGCG